CACACAGACTGTGAGTAATGGACCGCCCCCTACATGTCCGATTGGTGGGGATTCTGCTAACGTCGTTCAAAAATTGTTTTCCCCCCCAAACTAACTGGGAAGTTGTATCAGAACGCAGAGAGTTTGAATGATGAAAGTTCACGTATGCGTATAGGAAAAAGCTCGGGCGCTTTTTGCTTTCCTTCGCCTCTTATGGCGCCGGGGAGCCGACATCACTAGTTGCCTGAAGGGTTGAGTGTACAATGCAAAACAGTTCGTTCGTACACTACGGGTTCGGTGGGATTACCTGGCGGCCGCGGTATGCAGGGGACCGCTAGAGGATTGGTACGTTCGACCACAGGTGCCTCGTTTAATTTAGCTCAAATCTGGTGGAACTCCGCCCGTGCGAGCAATCGTACGCCGTCTCATAGCGCCTACATGGACATTGGGTTCTTTGCACTGGCGCTGGTTATGATTGATGGCTAGCCGGCATGTTTATGCGGAGGGGTGCGATTCAATTCTGGGTTAAGGACTTTGTAGCGCAACGGGACTTTTTAGAAGGGGGAGTTGAAGGGTGCGATGACTGATTATTCTGCATAGGTATGGTCTGCCTGCGGGTTTCGGTTTGAGGCGAGGAAGTCAATCTGCGATGTAAGTGGTTTGTTTGTTGATTGTTCTTGGTGTCGTGGGAGGGTAGGTACGGTTTTAATGTATGGCACCTAGTTGATTTATGGATGGGGCGTGGACAATACGTCTCACAGGGGCGGGTGTATTTATCGGCAATGGATCTTATCTGCTGGCCGTGCGGGCATTATGTTTAAGGATATCAGGACATCGGCGTGTCTGAGGCAGTGAGGGCCTGGGCTAGGCCACGGGCTGTTGATGGATAACCAAGGTACCAGATGTGTTTAGATGCATCATCACTTTATAATCGGGGTTATTCACTGAATTGCTGGGGTATATGATGGGAGTCGGTAAATCTCATCAGACCCAAACTTTTACATAACAGTGATTGTGGATATAGCGTCAACTGGGGCTGGGATTGACTTCTTGACTGTTTGAATGACCAAAATCGATAACTTGAGACAGAGATAGAGATGGTAGACCAAGTAAACTAAATAAACATATGTACACAATTCTCATTAGTACAAGGTAATTAAGTAGGTAAGATGACGTCCACATAACTAAGTAACGGTGTCCGTTGGCCAAGGTAGTAATATCGGCCGTATAAATCGTTTTTGGACACGTTCGAATTCATTGAGAGGATATCTGAAAGCAACCTTGTTAACAAAAGGATGATATCATTCGATGCCCAGTCGTTGTTCACAAACATTCCATTGCTCGAAACCGTGGATTACGTATGCGAGCTTGCTCGGCAACTGCCCATATACACAACTTTTCCGGAGACTTTGCTAAAGGAGGTGTTACTTCGTTGCACGTTAAATGTTCAGTTCACTTTCAATGGTGAAATGTACCGTCAGATTGACGGAGTGGCAATGGGATCTCCTTTGGGGCCGCTGCTGGCTGATATATTCATGGCGAAACTGGAACATGGTCAACTTGCAACGCACATCCGTGAAACTGAAATGTACGTACGGTATGTGGATGACACCTTCGTACTTTGCAAATCCGAAAAGCATGCGGAACAGTTGCTGAAAGCTTTCAATGAAGCACACAAGAATCTTCATTTCACTTGTGAACACGAACTCGGAAACCGGTTACCTTTCTTGGATGTAGAAATTATCCGTAACTCAGACGGATCATGCAGCAGAAAGGTACACAGAAAGCACACATGGACTGGGCAGTACACTAACTTCCACAGCGCAGTACCACTACAGCACAAGCGGAGTTTAATCAGATCTCTCGCCTTCAGGGCGCGCAGTATTTGTACACCGGATACCGTCAACGAAGAACTACAGAGAATCAGCGACGCCCTCAGGGAAAATGGCTATCCGGATAAATTTATCATGAAACATTTGAAAGAACGTAATCGAAAGCCACCTAGGAGCATTGCTCCTAAGAAAGAGCTTTTCATACATGTACCCTTTAAGGGCGATTCTGCAGCTGATATGTTATCCAGACGGCTGAAAGATGCTGTCGAGAAAACTTATTTCGCGGCCCGCCTGAGAATCGTTTTTCACAATAAGCCGTTGCTTACAAAACCCTTGAAGGATAGACTACCGCCATTGACCCGTTCAATGATCATTTATCAGTACTCGTGCTCCTGTGGTGCACGATACGTGGGTCGCACGACGAGACGCCTATCTCAGAGGGTTCGTGAACACATCCCGGCATGGTTTTACAGAGGCGAAATGAGGTCTTCAGACAGCTCTATCATGTCGCACCTCCTTGAATGTGGCCATACAGCTTCAGAGAATGACTTCAAAGTCATTTACTCACTACCTGAACACTTCTCCCAAGGATTCCGCAAACAGCTCTTATCCATCGCCGAGGCTATGTACATTCACCATCTAAAGCCGGAATTATGTGTCCAAAAACGATTTATACGGCCAATACTACTACCTTGGCCAACGGACACCGTTACTTAGTTATTTGGACGTCATCTTACCTACTTAATTACCTTGTACTAATGAGAATTGTGTACATATGTTTATTTAGTTTACTTGGTCTACCATCTCTATCTCTGTCTCAAGTTATCGATTTTGGTCATTCAAACAGTCAAGAAGTCAATCCCAGCCCCAGTTGACGCTATATCCACAATCACTGTTATGTAAAAGTTTGGGTCTGATGAGATTTACCGAAAAGAATTCTTTACCCTGAAATGATTGCTGATATTGATTCATATTAATGAAATGGGAATCTTTGCTTTGCTGAAGATCAGCATTGCCCGCGATTCATTGAAACACTTTAAGCAGACAATCCGATTAGGAGACAGCAGCAGACGCGCCACTGGTGTCGGTTGCGATCCATGTCCTGTAAAGTCTCGAGCCGAGCACAAGGTGAGTCACGTAGACTCCAACCCGGAAGGCGAGACGGACCAACGGCACCCAGTTTGGTCGTCAGTGACTTCGTTTCGCGCTGCCAAGTCAACTTTTGTCGACCTCGAGCCTTGCGCCATCCTACACCTGGTAGACTGAACAAGGCCCTCCTAGGTAAGCGGTGACCAGGCATGCGTAGTACGTGCCCGAGCCAACGCAACTTATTCAGTGCTATCTGTTGTTCTAGGGAGCTAGCATGATTATCACCACCTAATACTCGCCTACGCACATCATCGTTGCGGACACGCTGGTGCCATCCGACTTCAGCAATGCTTCGCAAACAACGATGATCAAAAGCTTGAAGGCGCCTCAGATCTTCAGACCGAAGGGGCCAATTTTCACTACCATAAAGCAGAACGGCCCTCACTGTGGCCTTGTATACACGGTCTTTCAGACGGAGAGAAACTCCCTTCTGTCGCCAAAGATGACGCAGGTGTAAGTACGCAGCTCTGCCCTTTGAAATGCGTGAGCTCACGTCAGTTTCTACGGCTAGCCTGAAGAGAGACCGCGAATCCTGGTGGTCTAATCGTGCAACAGAGATGGAAATGGCCGGTGCCCTTGGTAACCATCGTAAGTTATTCCGGTTGATACAGGAAACGGACAGCAGGAGACCTGGTGTTAGTGAAATAATTTGTGCCGAGAGTGGACAGCCTATCCACAACTTATCAAAACGCTTGGAGTGTTGGGCTGAGCACTTTGAAAAGCATTTTAATCGGTCGGAATGGTTAGATTTCTCGCTGCCCATTGATCTCCCCTCTCCCTGGGCTGTCCCTTTGGATCCACCCTTTCCCTCAGAATTCGAACGTGAGATCGAACTGTTGAAGTCAAATAAAGCCGCGGGGCCTAATGATCTTCCTCCAGCCCTCTTCAAATTCGGGGGACCTGCTCTTATGGATGATTGACACGAGTTACTAGTCAAACTGTGGGAGCAGGAAACTGTCCCAACCGATTGGAGCCGCTCCGTCATAGTTCCAATTTTCAACTGAGGCTCCCGTTCGGAATGTGGCAAGCATAGAGGAATCAGTCTGATCTCCATCGCCTCCAAATTGCTTGCCTCTGTCATCCTTCACAGATTGACTGGCAATCGTGAAAGCCAGATTCATGAAAAGTAAGCTGGATTTTGTCGAGGTCGTGGCTGCATTGACCACATCTTCACCTTGCGTCAGTTGTTGGAGCACCGTCACATATATTGGCGGCCCACCATTGTCGTGTTCCTCGATATCAAAGGTGCATTCGATTCGGTGGATAGACATGCACTTTGGGACTGTATACTCAGGAAAGGTGTCCCTAAGAAATATGTGAATATTATCCGAGCATTATATGCGCGTAGCTCGGGCAGAGTGAGGGCTTACGGCAAGTTGTCGTCGCCCTTTAATATCTCCAGCGGCGTGAGACAAGGATGCCCGCTGTCACCTTTCTTCTTCAACTTCGCTGTTGACAAAGTCATGGAA